TTTATTTTTTATCTTTTAAATCAACCTCAGTCCTGATCAAAACTACTAAATTGTTTAGAAAATTACAGGATTTTAACTCTTTAACTGCCAAATTTATAAATGGTTTGAATAAATTTGAAAAAAAAAAACACCAAATGTTGTATTTTCAATATAACAATTAGTAGTTGTGACTGGATTTTTTTCACCTTTTATCACAGTCTTGGACAAGTGAATGATTAGTAAAAACATTAGCTTTGATTTATTGTTAGATTTTCATTAATTTACTGTTGATGGCTGTTTTTGCCCCATTGACTTACATTATCACCACATTTGATGGTGCATAAATACACAGTCTTTCTTTTCATTTACTCCATAAAGTTCTGAGAGCTGAGATGCACGTTTTGATTTTCTTAGACACACCAAGGTAAGTGTGCAAAGGACACACACTCACAGACACACATACACACACTTTAATTTGCTGTTATACTCCATATAAAATCCAGAAACTAAGTTGTTTTTTGCACTGGCCTATCTAAAAGGTTAATGCTGCCAACTGATGATCAACAGTAAATATTACAATTTTTATTTCTTGCCAACAGGGAAAACCAACAACAATTAAAACGGCATGTGTCATGGTTTTGCAATTTAAAAATGTGGTTACAATGGAAGTCAAAGGGGCAAAACAGCCAACAACAGTAAATTTGCAAGAAAAAAATTTAATTAATCAAAAACAATGCATTGAAGCTAATACGGTTTCACGTGTCAAAGACTGTGATAAAAGGCAAAAAACAAATCCCGTCCACAATTACTTTTTATATTAAAAATAAGTCTTTTTTTTCCACGCGACTGGGATGAGAATCAGCACCTCCAAGTCCGAGGCCATGGTGCTCCACCGGAAAAAGGTGGTTTGCCATCTCCAGGTTATGTGTATTGTTTCAGTATTTATGGTATAGTATATGTATATTAGCTTAGTTAGCATATTTAGATTACCGCTTCAGTATGTTAATTATTTATAGGTTGAAAATACCTCTTCCGTCCAGTGTTGTGTTCATATTTATGATTCTGTTAGCATTGTGGTCCTGAAAGACTTTATTTCCACACATGTAGTGGAATGACAATTAGCTTGACTTCATTTGGGCCCATCATTGCCTTTGTTAAACTTTTACTTAACCACACAAACACATTTGGATTTGGAAGCATTTGGCATATTTAATCAATCCACAGTAAAATCATCAACAAGATTTGTCAACTTGTAATAAAATTTCTAATGCCAAATAGACGTTATAGGCACTACATATCTGTATCTGTATAGTTATGTCTAAACGGGTGTTAAAAACATCACACTTCACGCAAAGCCACTCTGTAAAGTCATATTTGACTAAACTGAACTGGGCAGTGAGGCAGAAAGGAAACTGCATTGGTTCACATACTTTTCCCCCTGCAACTGTATTTCAGCACTTTATTATGGAGGGAGATCAGTCTCAAAATAAATACATTCACAATTCATAAATGTGCAAATCCAATTCATTTTGGGAATTATTTATGATTTTTTTTCTTGTGATTTCACAAATTTAGTTTTGAATTTACGACTTGGATTTTGTAAATATGAATTGTGCTGTTTTGTTTTTGCAAACATATTATTTTTGAGACTGATCTGGCTCCATACTATATAGGATGTCTGACACTACTCTCTCTAAACATTGGAAAAAACACATCGGAAGGCCACTAATCAATACATAAAACAGAGCAGGACAAAATATGCCAAAATATGTTTATGTAAGGGGTTTGTGCATATATATCAGCAATTTATTTGTATTTACTTTAAACAACCAGTAAAAAAAAAAAAAAAAAAAAAAAACTGGTATTTTTACAATTCATATATATTTATTTTTACTGTTATTCTAAATCTTTTTTTTCTAGTGTGTGTGTGCATGTGTGTATGTGTGTATGTGTGTGTATGTGTGTATATATATATATATGTAAACTGTTTTCAATATGTAAAACAGTTTTAATATGTAAACTGAAAAAAATATGTAAACTGTTTTTGGAGCGCAGTAGGTAGTGCTGTCGCCTCACAGCAAGAAGGTCGCTGGGTAGGTGGTGCGATCCTCGGCTCAGTTGCCGTTTCTGTGTGGAGTTTGCATGTTCTCCCTGCATTCGCGTGGGTTTCCTTCAGGTACTCCGGTTTCCCCCACAGTCCAAAGACATGTGGTACAGGTGAATTGGGTAGGCTAAATTGTCCGTAGTGTATGAGTGTGTGTGTGAATGTGTGTGTGTGGATGTTTCCCAGAGATGGGTTGCAGCTAAAAGGGCATCCGCTGCGTAAAAATGTGCTGTATAAGTTGGCGGATTCATTACCCAATTCACCTATAGGATTCCGGAACACCTGGAGGAAACCCCCGCAAACTCGGGTAAAACATGCAAACTCCACACTGAAATGCTAACTGACCCAGCCGAGGCTCAAACCAGCGACCTTCGGTGAGCCACCGTGTCACCCCTAACACAAATTACATTAAGTTATTTACAAAAAAACGATTGTTTTTATGTGTATTTATGAATATTTTGTCTTGAAAATATTAAAAAAAAATCTTTAAAAAAAAGGATTATACCTATTCTGACGGTCTCCGCCTTCTGAATAATACCCTCAACTTCATTTTAGGGTTGTCACGATACTGGAATTTGGTACCAATCGATACTAAAGTTTTAAAAATGTCCATTTCCTGCTAACATTTTGGCTGTTGAGCACATTCTTAAACAACACTGATTTGCCATTGTGTTTACGTGCTCAACAGAAATGACTGGGATTGGCCGTGAAGGTCATCAGTTCGCCAAACTGTTTACTGAGTGTAACCACAGACACTGGAGCATTTCAAAGCCACGCCGATCAGCTGGTTTGTCTATAAGCTGACATTCGAGCGATCCTCTGTTGAATTCCAGTATCCAGTACCTTTTTGTGCGTTTACTAAATTAAATAAGCATGAAACATTTTCAGCATTGTTATTAGTGATTGCAGTTATAAAAAAAATGTTTATCCCTATATTCGGGTTCTTTATTAGTTACTAATAATTTTAACAAATTAACTAGTAACTATTAGTAATCCCAAACGGAATCTGCACGTGTGGAAATCTGCGAATTTTTAGCCCATCATTTAGTCTATTTATTTACTTGTGTAAATGTGTGTAAATTTATATTTATTCAGTTTTCAAATTAATTTCACTAAAATTATTGTGAT